ACATGAGATTTGGGCCATCTTGTGGGGGGAAAGCAGATTACTTCGTACTCACCAGCGCCCCCTCTGGTGGGGAAACTTTTTTCAGGGATACAAACTTTTTCAGAACACCGGTAGACGGCAGCCATTACAGACTAACATGTGTTTGTTGTTGTTCCAGGAGCGGCTCGGTCACACACTAATGTCATTAGTTCGTTATCATTACTGAGCTGCAGGACTGCTTTTTACCCTTTTTCCACATCATGTCTCCTGATGGATATGTTATTATCTCACTCTGAAGCACAGAGGAGTGTCAGAGGTGAGCTCGTTTCAACTGATTTTTATGACGTGGTCTCATTTCCGGACACAGGCATTTTTTGAATGAAGCCGATATTTCAGTTAAAATACATAAGTAAAAATATTTATCAGAGTATAGTACTACTTCCCAACTTTATGGATGATTTTATGGATTTAATTTTACGTATTATACTTGAATAAATAGTAGTAGTTAGAATAGTAGTCAGAATTTGCATCGAGAGCTATGCTTAGTTTGTGTCAGAAAATTAAGCGTTTATATCATGTGACACAATACAAATACATGCCAACAAAGTTTATTCTAGTATTAAAATCAAAACACAAAAACTTCTTGATCAAACTGCATTTAATAGCACAAGCTACAGTAAATTTTCTGACAGGTTGAAGTAGATCTTATTGGATGCTGTGACTGAGCTGCCTAAAATACTCACCCTGTGCAGTTTGGTCCAACCTGAAACATTTCTTTAGAAAATCATTCAGTCAAAAACAAAGAGAAGATTTTGGAAAACATACAACAAACAGTACAGAAGAGTTCTTCAGTCAGATGACATGACAGTACATTACCAACATGTGAAGGTCAGTCTGACCTGATTTGACTCATCTCTAAATAAACTGCAGGGTGTTCTGCGTTGGTCTCCAACAACCCTAAACTGAAACTAAACAAGTTTTTCTTTCAAGCTTGATTTGTTTTTAATCGTCAGCTGCCATGCAGAGTGGGCAATTATATACATGCTTGTGTGTGTGTGTGTGTGTGTGTGCGCACGTGCGTGCGTGCGTGCGTGCGTGCGTGCGTGCGTGCGTGCTTGTGTGTGTGTGTGTGTGTGTATTGGTGTGTGGACATATTTTAAGATTATACCATGCTTATGAGGACATTCTGTCATTGTGTAGACAGCTTTAGGGCTAAGGTATGAATTAAGCTTAGGTTAGGCTTAGGCATGTACCTGTGAGGTTATGTTTAAGGTACTGAAGTCGAACTCTGGTCCTCAAGGGCCGCTATCCAGCATGTTTTTTTGTTTCCCTGCTCAAAAGCACCTGATACGCATGAATGGATGATTAACAGACAGAATTTGAAGAAGTAACTGAGTCACTTCATGTCATTTTAATGCTAGAATTATTTCAAAAAATATGTTTGTTTTTAGCTGTGCCAAATTGTGCCAGAGATGTCATATTGCAAAGTTTACAAAAAACTGCAAATAAGTCCAACAAAAATGTGCCCACACAGATTTTTGAGGTTTTTACTGTCTAAACTAACACATTTTGTTGCACAATTATAGACTTTGTACAGATGGGACAAAATCAGGTCAAGAGACATTTTGAACTTGTAAGTTTTTTGGACTCACACGTATAAACCACATGCACACACAACAAACAACAGATCTCAACTGACCTTTTTTCCCAGTGGTGGGTGGCCCAGGTGGCTTATCAGTTACCGATCCTGGAAGGTGTGATTGGAGGGGAGGAAACATGAACATGAACAAAGCCTGACAGACAGCAGCTAGAACCAGCAGATTTTGTGATTTTTCTTCCAAAACAGTGTTTTAACTAAATGTTGCATTGATATCTGTTCTTTGGTAAACATACAACCCACAAATACACACCCACTACAAACATTTGCACAGATTACATATTGATGTTTTGCTGTAAAGTTAATCACTAAAATTGATGAATGCATTCTATTAGTACCAGATTGTATGCTCAACCTGAACCTACAGACTTAACCTACTAACACAAACCTGACCAATCTGCTCCGTCTGTAAAAAAATTCATTAGCAAGAAAAAACACAAACAAATCAAGTTTTCATATTATTTGAATCTGCATGCAGGTAGCTGACGTCATGCATGGATGCACTGGGTGGGAGAATGTTTAATTAGAAGATGGAGCCAATCACGCCKCAAAGGGAAAGGAAAACATGGAGTGGAAAGTCCTATAAGGAAATTTACTACCTGACAATCCACTTTTCCCAGCATTAGTTCCCATATTTTCACGGAGGTATCCTGCAAATGTATGCAAGGCAGTTCATTTAGGTCATCATCTCCATGGGTGTTTAGCATGTAAACAAAAGCTGTTTGACAGGAGAATTTAGTTTTATATGGTCAACTGTAGCAGCTGACCAGGGTCACGTTTATTGTGCCCAGATACTAGTCATGTTTACATCCAGTTGTAGAGTGAATTTTTTATCGAACTTTTCACAATTTGCAAAAAATTTAATAAATAAAAAATTTGAATCTCGACTGTTTCCATCTAGTTTCCCTCTCCACTGTTTGATGTGAATAAACAAGGCTACACAATGCGTGATTACGTCAGACGAGGATACGCAACACGTGATTACGTCAGACGAGGATACGCAACACGTGATTATGTCATACGAGGCTACGCAATGCGTGATTATGTCAAACGAGGCTACGCAACGCGTGATTACATCAGACGAGGCTACACAACGCGTGATTACGTCAGACGAGGCTACGCAACACGTGATTACGTCAGACGAGGCTACACAACGCGTGATTACGTCAGACGAGGCTACACAATGCGTGATTACGTCAGACGAGGATACGCAACACGTGATTATGTCATACTAGGCTACGCAACGTGTGATTACGTCAAACGAGGCTACGCAACGTGTGATTACATCAGACGAGGCTACGCAACGCGTGATTACATCCGACGAGGCTACACAATGCGTGATTACGTCAGACGAGGCTACACAATGCGTGATTACGTCAGACGAGGCTAGGCAACATGTGATTACGTCAGACGAGGCTACGCAACGCGTGATTACATCAGACGAGGCTACGCAACGCGTGATTACATCCGACGAGGCTACACAATGCGTGATTACGTCAGACGAGGCTACACAATGCGTGATTACGTCAGACAAGGCTAGGCAACATGTGATTACGTCAGACGAGGCTACGCAACATGTGATTACGTCAGACAAGGCTACGCAACATGTGATTATGTCAGACGAGGCTACACAATGCGTGATTACGTCAGATGAGGCTACACAACGCGTGATTACATCCGACGAGGCTACACAATGCGTGATTACGTCAGACGAGGCTACACAATGCGTGATTACGTCAGACAAGGCTAGGCAACATGTGATTACGTCAGACGAGGCTACGCAACGCGTGATTACATAAGACGTCGGTGACAAGCTTTGTGGTAGTAAACAGGAAGTGAAACTTGCTAACTAGCAGAGGTTAATTATCTCGGGACAATGGAGCGATTTTTTCGTAAATGCCTTGTAAATTTACACAGTCAAAAATTACCACTAATATTTTTGTTTTATTTAAC